TGGCTGTCACGGTGGAATGTGAGTGAGGGCAGCACGGGACGAGATGGGGTACGTCGGGATGCCCCTGGCCTGACTTCCGGGCCCTGTGTGACCTTCTGCTCCCCAGACGGACCCAGTTTTGAGGAGCTGGGCTGCCCCAGCAATTGGACGTGGGTGGAAGGAGCCGGGCGGCTGTTTTCCTGTGAGGTGGATGGGAAACCACAGCCACAAGTGGAGTGCGTCGGCTCCGGAGGCAGCAGCGAGGGGGTCCTGCTGCCGCTGGCCCCCCCAGACTCTAGTCCCAGAGCTCCCAGCATCCCTAGCCACCTGGCACCCGGCATCTACATCTGTAACGCCACCAACCGGCACGGCTCCAGGGTCAAGACGGTCGCCGTGAGCTCGGAGTGTGAGCGGGGCCCAGGCGGGCTGGGAGTGGGGGGTGCCGGGGGCCGTGCCCCTCCCTGACGCCCCCCGTGATGGCTTTGCAGCGGCGCCGCAAATGGATGAGTCCACCTGCCCAAGTCACCAGACGTGGCTGGAAGGAACCGAGGCTGAGGCGCTGGCCTGCGCCGCCCGGGGTCGACCCTCCCCACAGGTGCGCTGCTCCCGGGAGGGCGCGCCGCGACCTCAGCGGCTGCGCGTGTCCCGAGAGGATGCGGGCACCTACCGCTGCCTGGCCACCAACGCGCATGGCACGGACGCCCGGACCGTCACGGTGGGCGTGGAATGTGAGTGGGGACGGCACCAGATAGAGCACTGTCGGTCTCCAGGGAAATTCAAGGGCTCCTCCCTCAGTCCCATTCTCAGGGACAAGGAATCCCGGGCAATGACAAGTCCAGCCAGCAGGAGCCCAGCCTCCCTCAAATTCGGAGTCAAAAGGGCACGGGCGCGGGTCCCCAGCTTCTCCCATTCGGTGGAGCGGGGCGCGGGATTTCAGCCCCCACAACAGCCCGATTGTTCCGGAGGTGGCTCTGATGGCAGGCAGGACGCTCCCCTGCCCATCCCAGAAGGGGTGGTCTCATTGTGGTGGGCGGAAGGGGGGGTCACTTGGTCGGCGGCTGGGCGGGCGGCGCTGAGCCCGCCTCCAACCTCCTGTCGCCTGCAGACCGGCCGGTGGTGGCCGAGCTGGCCGCCTCCCCTCCGGGCGGTGTGCGGCCAGGCGGGAACTTCACCTTGACCTGCCGCGCTGAGGCCTGGCCCCCAGCCCAGATCAGCTGGCGCGCGCCCCCGGGAGCGCTCAACATCGGCCTGTCGAGCAACAACAGCACGCTGAGCGTGGCCGGCGCCCTGGGCAGCCACGGCGGCGAGTACGAGTGCGCGGCCACCAACGCGCACGGGCGCCACGCGCGGCGCATCACCGTGCGCGTGGCTGGTAAGTGGCAGCTGGGGGGCGGGGCGAGGGAGCTGCAGGGGGCGTGACCTGCGCCTTGGGGCTCGGGACCCGTCCCTGCCCCCCGCTCAGTCCCCACAGACCAGCCTGAAGGGGGCTAGGGGAGAAGCGAGGGGCGCCCTGACGGGTGGCGCTGTTGATGGCGGGTTAGGGTGGGAGGCGGAGGGAGCGGACGCACTCAGGAGGAGGGACACGCCAGGGCTGGGACAGCTGTGGGAAGGGACTGTTAACTGGGGGGCGGTACTGCCTGGTGGAGGCGTGATCCAGTTCACCCTCCACTGTGTCTCTATGGAGAAGGGAGGTTGGAGAGGGTCCAAGGTCAGTGGATGGGGCGTGGGGGCCCCCAACTAGACCTCTTGCCCACTTCGTGTATCTCTGGGGGTGGGGTCCTTCTGGGATGAAGGAATGACCCGGTCCTCATCGTTTTGAGGGTCAAGAGAGTTGAGTGACTCGTGGGGACCTCTGTGTCTAGGGGCTTATATCCCCATGTGCGGACCTGGGGTCGCACCAGCGCTGGGAGTGGCCTTCCTGGGGTGTCTCCTTTCCCCCAGGGTGGGACTCTGAGTTCCCAGGGGCTCGTGCCTGTGGGGAGGGGACAGAGGTGGCCCCGGTTGGCATCTCGTCGGGGCGGGGTGGGGGACCGGGAGCTCGTCCACCCTCTTTGAGGGTCTCCCCCCCGCAGGGCCGTGGCTGTGGGTCGCCGTGGGCGGCGCGGCTGGGGGCGCTGCGCTGCTGGCCGCGGGGGCCGGCCTGGCCTTCTACGTGCGCTCCACCGCCTGCAAGAAGGGCGAGTACAACGTGCAGGAGGCCGAGAGCTCGGGCGAGGCCGTGTGTCTCAACGGCGCGGGTGGCGGCGCGGCCGGGGGCTCGGGCGCTGAGGCGGGAACAGAGGCTGCGGGCAGCGCGGAGGAGGCGCCGGCGGAGGGCGAGGTCTTCGCCATCCAGCTGACATCAGCGTGAGCCCGCTCCCCAATCCCCGCGGGCCGGGGGACGCCCCCCAGACGCACGCGGGGGCTTCTGTATCGTTTTATTTATTTATTTATTCGATTCCAGGGCGTCACCTCATTTTCCACCCACCCCCCCAAACCCTTTTAAATAAAGTTTTTATAAAGGACTCTCGACCCCTCTGCTTCGGTCTCTGCCATGTGGAAGCAGCCCGGGGTTTGGATCCCAACCTGGGGCCGGCCTGTGGCCCAGTGGTTAAGTTCGCCCGCTCTGCTTTGGTGGTCCAGGGTTTGCCAGTGTGGATCCTGGGCGTGGACCTACACACTGATTATCAAGCCAGGCTGTGGCCCCGTCCCTAAAGCTAGAATATATAACTATGTACTGGGGCTTTGGGGAGGAAATAAAAGAGGAAGATTGGCAACAGATGTTAGCTCAGGGCCAATCTTCCTTGCCAAAAAAAAAAAAAAAGTCCTTTTTGTTTTTGAGCGCTTGCTACAGGTCAGGCATCATCCACACCATCCTTTCAAGGAGTGACCTGAACAATGTTCTCTTGGTGCCCCATTTCCTGCTCTTAAGGACCCTTGAGCTGGGGCAGGGACCTCCCTCCTTCCTCCCTCTCCTTGTCGCTTATCTCTTCTGCCCAGCACTGTCCTCTGATCCGCTTCTCTTGTGGATGGGAGCCAGGGGCTTCCCCCAGGCCTGGCTCTGGGCCGAGCTGAGGCGGCCTTCCCAGGATGGGCAGAGCGCCCTTCCCAGGGGCGTGGGCACAGGGTCCCATCACCAGGATGGGTGAGAGAAAGACAGGGGCTACAGCTGGGTGTCAGCCCCCGGGGTGTCCCCCCTATTGAAGGGCGCACCCGTGCTCCAACCCCAATGCCTCCTCCACCCTGTGTCCATCACCGTGCCTCAGTTTACCCCAACCTGCCTTTCGACTTGGCCCATGGTGAGTCGGAACAGACGCACAGGGTGTCAGTCGCAACCCCCGCTGCACCCTCCTCCTCACCCCCCAGAGCAGAAGGAGCGAACAGCTGGGCCTCCCCGCCTGCCAGCCGCCTCCTCCTTGATGAAAGGAAGGAAGCGGCCGGGCCAGCTCCGTCCCATCGGCAGTCCCCCCGCTGGAAGGGGCCCAGCCAGTGCCCATGCCAGGTACAGAGGCAGCAAGGGACAGGTGGGGTGCAGCCCCCGACGTCCCACCGCTCCTGAATAACCTCTGGAGCCCACAAAGTCCTGCCAGCCACGGAGTCCTTGCTCTCGCCATTCCCTCTGGCTGTACCGGCCCCCAGCTCCTCACCCCTTAGTTTATTTTCTCTGTAGCACCGAACACAACTTGACATCCTGTTAGATATTTGACTGAATATTTGTTTACTGACACTCAAGAAGATTGGGCCCGCTAGACCAGGGATCTTCGCTGTATTCGCCACACAGTGTCCCCGTTAGGACCTGGCACACAGTAGTTGCTCAATAAATGGTGCATAAGTAGATTAAAACAGCCGTGAGTCTGCAGACACACAGTGAGGCCTTCCTGGGTTCGATGTATGTCCCCAAAGGGCGCCATCCTGGGCACTGGGGTGGCCTGTCATGGGCAGGGACAACAGGTGTGGTGGTGGCCTTGGACCTCTGAAGTCATGGTCCAGTAGGAGAGACGAATGTGAATGACATAACCCCGGGAGAATCGGAACTTCTGGTAGGTTCTAAGGGGGAGATCAGCAAGGGGCAGAAATAGAGCCTGATGTGGGGGAGGGGCGGGGGGGTTCTTTTCCAGGCTGGGCGCTTGGGGGAGGTCCTCTGACGAGGTGATGTTGGCGCTGAGTGCCCCCCCACCAGCGTCGAGAAGCGGCAGCTGTGGGAGATGTGGGGGAGGCTGCTCTGCCGAGGGAGGTGGGACCGAATGAGTCAGGGCTCCGAGGCCGTCGTCACAAGCTCACCCAGGAGACACGGAGGATCTCACAGGCTTGCCTTCCCCGGGCTGCGGCCCGGCAGGCCTCCCCCACCCCCACGGCAGGGCCCACCCCACCCTGGCTGCCTCCCACCCATCCTTGACTCCCCCTCCTCCCTCCCTCCCCGTGGGCGGGGACGCCTGGGTGCCTCGGTGACAGTGGCAGAGCCGAGCTCTGCCCAGGGCCCGGCTTCAGGCTGGGGACACCCTTTGGGAGGGTTAGACAGAGCTTGAAAGCGGGCAGGGGGGCATAGCAGGGACTGGTGTGCACAAGGAGGCGGCAGGTGACATTCTGCAGGCAGGGGGAGCTGACAGATGAAGGGCCCGCTGGGTGTGTATCACTGTGTCACCTGTGTGTCTGTTGACATGTGTGTATTGTGTCTGCGTCTAGCGACACGTGTCCGTCACCTATCAGTGGATGTGTGTCTGTCAACACACGTGTCTGTCTTGTGTGTGCTCTGTATCTGTGTTCGTCTCACGTGTCAGCGTGTGTGTGTCCATCTTGCGTGTGTCCGTGATTCTCCATGTGTCGTCTGTCCCTGTGTGTGATGGCTGGGACGTGTCCTTGTCTGGGACGGTGTCGTGACTGTGGCTCCTTCCTGGGGGGGTGGGGGTGGCCAGCGCCTGTCTATAGGACAGTGTGTGTGTGTGTCCCTCAGAAGCCCAGTGAGAAACCCGCTGCCCCAGTCCCAGGCTGGGGGACAGGCAAGGGAGGGCACACGAGGTGGCAGCACTGAGTCACAGCACTGCTTCTCTGAGAGGTTCAGCTCTTTATTGTCACTGCTGTTAACAATATGAGGATTGCAGCTCAGGGCCTTTCCCAAGGGCTCGGCCAAGCTGGATGGGAGCGGGGGCAGGGAGGGGGCCAGGGACCCCCTGAGTCAGGGGCTCTGGGGCCTGAGGCCTGGGTCTTCCACCTGGGGTCCCTGAACGGGGAGGAGGCAGCCTGGGGACCCCTCCAAACCCAGGTCTTCCTCCACTCCTGCTAGAAGGGCTTCTGTCCATTCTCTCCGTGGAGAAACTGAGGCAGGACAGGCTCATGGGTGACGAGCGGCTTAGCTTTCCTGAGTTGGGCCTGGGTGGGGGCTCAGGGACACCCCACACCTGCCACACAGCCTCTTGGGCTGGACATTTTTCCTGGGCACCAGCCAGCAGCTGGCGCACCGGGTGCCATATTTCTTGTACCTGGAGAAGGGGGACAAGAAACAGTCAGGATGCAGCGGGGGCCCAGAAACTGCCAAAAGGGGACCACCTTCCCCAAGGGCTGGGGGGGTTCTTCCTTCCCGATACCCCACGCTGGCCAAGTGTGGACTGCTCTGGGGCCCCCACCCCAGCCCCCTCCTCTGCCCTGGGCACCTGATGCCACAGGCGTTGCAGAGAGGGGTCCCGTCCTCGGCATCTCTCCAGAGAGGGGTCCTCTGGGTCCTGCAGGAAGCACAGCGTCGGGGCCCTGAAAGGACAGAGGTCAAAGGGTATGGGTCCGAGGCCCAGACCCGGCTCAGGAGGCCTGCATGGGGTGGAGCCCTTGGGCGGGGCTCCGGGCCCACCCTGGGTGTTGCTGGATCTCAGATGCAGAGAAAGGCAGGAAGGGAGACAGATGGCAAAGCTCGGCAGAGGAGGAAGCTGGGGGTGGGGGTGACTCAGCCTGAGTGGAGGGGGCAGGGAGCAGGATGGGGAGAAAGGCAAGGAGGGGAGGGAATTGGCCCCCGAATATTTATAGCTCCCGTGTGGCCAGGACTCACCCAGGGCCTCGCTGCCTCCTGAACTGGCCTCAGGGCCCCGGGCCGGGCCTGTCGGGGGAGGCTGGTGACGGCTGCTGCAGGCCGGGCTGGGGGGAGACACGGCGTTACCACTGGGGGACCTGCATCCCGGCCCAGACAGCCCCCCAAATGCAGATTGACTATCAAGGCATCAGGCATTCCCTCGAGGAGGCAGCTGCCGCCTGAAGGGCCTTGCCCCTCGTTAGTAATAATATTAATAATAATAATGATTATTATTTGAAGAAGCAGGAAGCCCAGGCTAGCCAGCCAGGTTCAATTCTCCCGTCCTTGCTGTGTGACCCCCGGACAAGAGATCGCACCCTCTGTGCCTGTTTCTGCATCTGTAAAATGGGCTTCACCGGGCTTCAAGGAGCCCATCGATGTCACGTGCAACTTGTTACCTCTTATTATTGATGTTGTTTCTGCCAAACGGCAGCCATTATCGTGACTGGAAAAAGTTACAGGTGCCTCAGTGGGGTCAGGCCCTGCTCACAGAGACGAGCCCCAGGCTCAGACGGGGATGTGAGTGGTGCAGAGCACCAGGGGCCGGGACGCCCCAGCCGAGGTCAGGCTCCCAGACGGGCCATTTCCAACGCAGGGCCCGCCCCGCTGTCATTAGGAACTGCATAGACGCGGCCCTGGGCCTCGCCAGCCCTACCTGAAGCTGGGTGTGATGTGCAGGCTGCAATCCGGCTTGATCTCAAACGTCAGGGTCACCCCCTGGAACCGGGGGTCCGCTTTCTCGGCCCCCCGCTGGGGGTGCGGCTGCTTCCGGGGCCTCCTCTCTGGTGTGGCCGGAGGGGCCGGGGGAGCCCCCGGGGACCCCAGGCTGCAGCATTGCGGACTGATCGGGGTCAGCACCTTCCAGGCATCCCTGGGCGGACTCGGGGGTCCCAGAGTCCCTAGGGCCTTGAGCTCCCAGCAGGGCCCCAGGGCAGGCTGGTCCGCGGGAGGGGGCTGGGCCAGCCCCTCCGCTGTCTCTTGGAGGAAGTGCAGGGCGCTGACGGAGTCCCCGCGTGCAGGCCAGAAGGACCTGGGGACAAGGGGCAGTGTGGTCACCCCCTTCCCTGGGCGGCACCCACACAGGCCTCCGAGGCACGGGGCAAGGGAAACCGCCTGGCCTCTGACCCCTACAAGACCCCAAGCGACCCTGGGGACCCCAATTTCCCTGTAAATACCAGGAACTAACATTGTGACCCCGGGATGACCCCTGGAACCAGAGGTCAACCGCAGGGCCAGGCTGAGGGAAGGGGCGGCCCCTCAACGCACCTGCCGCTGGGTCCGAGGCGGCCTGGGGGCCTCGGGTCCTGCCTGGCGGGGGGCGCCGGGGGCGGCTCGGGGTCCAGACAGGGCGGCGCCAGCAGCTCGCGCAGCATCCTCGAGAAGTCGGGGGCCGGCTCGGCCTCCATGGCGCTCCTGCCCTCCTCCCGCCGGCCCCGCCCCGCCAGGCCCACCGACGAGCCCCACCTGGGTCGGGGGCCCGCCGGCTGGGGGCGCTCTGGCCGAGGCTGCGAGGAGCCCCGGCGGGGGGCGGGGCCGCGGGGTCGGGCGCCTCCAGCCGGCGACGCCGAGCACTCGCTCCGAGCCACCCCGGGGCGGCCTCGTCCCCGGCTCCGCGCAGCCGCCTGCACAGCCCTGGCGGCCGCCGGCGGCCCGGACCCCCCGGACCCCTCGGCGGCTGCTCCCCACGTGGCCCTCAGGCTCGTGGCCCTCTCCTCCAGCAAGGAGGTCCCAGGCCCCTGCCTCAGCATCCCCGCCCGCCCCATCACTGTGGGAGGGGACAGCTGGGGGTCTGGAAGATGCACGTGTAGACCCCAGGGTCTGCCCCCCAAGGACACTCAAGATGCTGGCTGGAGGTCTGTGAGGAAGTTTTATTGACACTCCCATTGGATTCCACCGCTCGCCACACCCCCATTCTCGGGAGCTTGGGGGAGGCGGCCCCAGCGGGGGCCCTGTCCCCACCAGAGCCGGACACACATCTCTGTGGCCTCCTGGGTGCTTCCGACGTCTCTCTCAGGCCTGTCCGTGCTCTGGGCTGGGCTCGCAACGTGGCCTTTCCTCCAGTCCTGGCCGTGGCGCCATGGGTGTCCCAGAAGGGGCAGCTGCCCGTGTCAGTGGGGCTTGGGGACGTGGCCATCCACGTAGAAGTTCCTGGTGATCTTGGGCAGAGTGAATTCAGCCCCTTCCAGCTCGGGGGTCAGCACGATCTGGCAGCCCAGCCGGGAGTTCTCCTGGAGCAGGGGCGCCATGTCCAGCATGTCGTCCTCCCTGGGGCGCGGAGCACAGTGATTAGCAGGGGTCATGGGGAGAGCCCAGGGCCAGGCAGGGGCAGGCGGGTGGAGGCCAGGGGGAGGGGTCAGCAAAGCTGGGGTGCCCTGTGCTGCTGCCCGGGGGGACCGCTGGACCCCAAGAATGCACAGGCCCAGGCCTGCAGCTCAGCGCTTGCTCACCTCTCATCAGGGGGCGGCAGAAGGTCCAAGTGGTCCTCACTCACGTACACGTGGCAGGTGGAGCAGGCCAGAGACGCCTCACAGGCCCCTGGGGGAGCGAGTGAGGCAGCGCCGGTGAGGGGACGTCAGACAGAAGCCCTTTATTTCACCGCGCGCCCCTCCTCCCCCCTCCAGGGCCTGCGCACCCACCACGTGCCCCCGCACTCTGTCAGTCACTCAGCCAGCTGTCCCCTAGCCGCACAGAGGGTTTGCAAAGGGCTGTCGGGGGTCCCCTTTCCCAAGGACGCCCCAGCAGGCTGAGGCCCAGGCTGGGTACACGGACCTGCTCATGGGCACGGACTCGACTTCAAAAGCCGGGCCAGGTCCCTGGAGCCACTGAGCCCTTGCTGGGGCCCTCACTGTGCTAGGTGACTGTGTTCCCGCCCCCCTGCGGCTCCTGAAGGAGGGACCCACTCAGTCAGCACCAGGGGAAGGAGGGGAGGGGTCAGCGAGGAAGGATTCGAAAGACACAGAAGCTGAGGTTTTCTGCTTGTCCTCGGATACACTGACAACCTTGCGAGCGACCACTAAGAACGGCGCTTGGGGATGGTGTCCCCCTGGCCGGAAACCTTCCCAAAGGCTTTTTTTTTTTTTTTTTTTGAGGAAGATTAGCCCTGAGCTAACTGCTGCCAATCCTCCTCTTTTTTTTTGCTGAGGAAGACTGGCCCTGAGCTAACATCCATGCCCATCTTCCTCTACTTTACATGTGGGACGCCTACCACAGCATGGCGTGCCAAGCAGTGCCATGCCCACACCCGGGATCCCAACCAGGAACCCGGGGAGGCAGAAGTGGAACATGCAAACTTAACTGGCCGGCCCCTCCCAAAGGCTTTTCACAGCCAGAGTAAGGTCCAGACTCCTCCGCTCAGGCTCAGGTCCTCTCCCACCCCACTCACTCCACTTCAGCCACATCGGCCCCCTGCCCCACTCCAGCGCACCAAGCTTGTCCCCACCGCAGGACCTGTGCACCTGCTGTCCCCAGGGCCTGCAATGCTCCTCTCTCCACTCCTTCTGTGGCTAGATCCTTCTGGTCTTTGGGGACTCAGCTCAACTGTCCTCCAAGTACCCCCGTTCTTGTCCTTGCCCCACCTCGGTAACTCTTCAATTTCTGTACAGCATTTATCACAGTCTGAACTTACCATCTTTTTCTTTCTTTCTTTTTTTTTTTTTTTGGTGAGGAAGATTGGCCCTGAGCTAACATCTCTTGCCAATCTTCCTCTATTTTATGTGGGACCCACCACAGTGTGGCTTGACGAGCAGTGCTAGGTCTGTGCCTGGGATCCAAACCTGTGAACCCTGGGCCACCGAAGCAGAGCACATGAACTTAACCACTACGCTACCAGGCCGGCCCCTGAAGTTACCATCTTAATCTCTGGGTTAATCTCTGACCTGTGCCCCCTCAACCTGCTCTCCCCTCTCCACCCTCGGCGCTGAGCCGGACATGCTGTAGACGGTCAGGAGACGTGTTATAAGGGACAGATTCCTCCTGTCTCTTTCAGACATGTTGACAATGGGGATGGAGCCGCCAGGCCACTCCTGGCCCAGCAGATGCTCCCTGTGGGACTCGGTGACTACTTTGCCCACCCTCCCCGTCTCCTGGGAGAAACTTGGCCTTGATGCTCCAAGTTGCCCCCGGCATCTTCCTTAGTCCTGTTTCCCAGCCCATTAGCCTTCTCATCCCAGGAGAGCGAGATCATCTAATATAACCGTCCCAGCGAGTCACTGCACACTAAACGTGCCAGGTAGCACTATGCTTGACACCTAACATCCTCCACAGCAACCCAGCGAGACAGGTACTGGATTCTCCCATTTTATAGATGCGGAAACAGAGGCTCAGAGATGCCAAGGCCCTTGCTCGGGGCCACACAGCCAGTAAGAGGCAAAATTTGGACACGGGCCACTTGCCTCTAAAACTCATGTTCCAACCTGTTTCCTGGACTGCCGGCCACTGGGTTCCAGAACAGAACCTGTGGGGGCTTCCAGGACATCTCCAGCCCTTCCAACGATTAAATCAGGCTCCCTCTGAAACGAACCCTGTACGATTTTTTTCATCCCACCCTTCCCAGTCGCTCATGAGATAAATACATGTTTCCTTGGGGGATCATTGTCCCCAGTAGGCTGACATTGGTGTGGAATGACAGGGACCTTATCTGCTGTGCACAGTGCTGCCTGGCACACGGCAGGTGGCCGATATTCCTAGAAGAGCAGGACAGATGAGTGGCTGATACAGGCTGGCTTTGAATTCACTTTTGCCACTTGCTGGACCCTGGACAATCTTAAGCCGGGGCTCAGTTTCCACATCTACACGACAAGATGACCCCCATCTCTGTAGCATTCAGTTGTCGTGGAGATTCAATCGGGGGAAAACGTGTTAACACGTTTCAGGTAACGTCTCCTATTACGATCTTTCCTTCAACAAACACACACTCAATACCTGTCACATCTAAATACCAGGACAAGCAACAGATAAGGGTGATCAAGGGGAACAGGTTTCTGATCTCATTCTGGAGAGAGACGACAAAAGGCACCCAAATAACGAGAAGAACTATGAAAACAATAAAACACACTGATGTGACAGAGGGAATGGGGCTTGGAGACTTTAGTGGGCTGAGGGGGATGACTATCAGGAAGATGACATTTACATCGAGACCTGAAGGATGAGAAGGAGCCAGAAGATCTGGTGGGAAAGCACTTCAGATGGTGGGTGCAGCAAATGCAAAGGCCCTGAGGCAGGAATGAACGTGGCTGCTGGAGGAACAGCAAGAAAGCCAGTGTGGCTAGAATACAGGGAGAAAGGAGGAAGACAATACGTGCTCCTGGAGGGCAGGAGTTCTGGTGACTTCTAGCAAACGCTCCATGAATAACTTTTGAGTGAATGAAGATGAAGAGCTGGACGGGGAGGAGTCTGCGGGGAGGAGTCTGGATTTTAACCATGTTTGGCGGGAAGCCATGGATGGGTCAAGGGGTGCACAGATATATCTGACTTGTGCGGTTTTTTTAACGAATGAATAAGGCCCTCCTCAATTCCCTGGGCCCGGCTCCCACCTTCCAGGTCCACCCCGTGGCGCTGGGCCAGGTGGAGGACATTGTCCCCGACTCTGCCGCTCACCGGAATCCGCTGGCCTGACCGGTCTACGAACACCACGTTGACCCTGGGGACAGATGGGGGTGCGGATGCCCAACGGGGTTCTGGGCCCAGGGACCCGGCGGAACCCAGGATTAGGAAGTCAGGGTTGGGGCTTGACGGACAGGGGAATAGGGTGACGCGGCAGAGGGACCCAGGGATGAGGCTGCAGGGCAAGGGCGGGACCGGAGGACCCTCGCGGGATGAGGACACTCACACGTCCCCGGGCCGCTCGGGGCCGCCGGCTTCCTCCTCCCCCGCCGGGCGCGAACCTGGAAAACACGGTTGGGTAAGCGGCCCCGCCCCGCCAGCGTCCGATGGGTTAACGCTGCCCGCCCCCCGAGGCACCCCGGATACCTGTCGCCCGGAATGTCCTGGTTGTCGCCGGTGCCGCCGCCTCGCCGAGCCCCCAAAAGCCCCCGGGCCGGCTCGCCCAGGCGCCCCTGGCCGCCCGCAGCAGGAACCCAGCATTCACCCCGCCCCAGGCCACGGAGGCGGCCATGACAGGCAGCACGTGACCTGGGCGCTGGGCATGCGCACTCGCGGCTACGCGAGCCCAGAGCCCGTAATCACCCGAATATAAGCGCCGCCGTTTGGGTGGGGCGTGTGAAGCACGTGCGCTGCGCAGCCTTGGGCGCACCAAGGCCCACCGGCCGTCCCAGACCTGCCACCCAGGCCCACTGTTTGTCCCAAGAACCAGGCCGCTCTGCTTTCTTTAAAACCATTTACAAACTTTAATTCAGCAAAGGTCTGTGTGAGAGGACCGGGGAGAGGACACCCCCCTGGAGTGGATGTGGACCCCCAGAGTCAGGGGAGGGCAGCTGGTGGCCCAGCAGCCAGGATCAGGGCCCAGAGTCATCGCAGGCCGACACCGGCTGGTGGGCAGGGGCAGGGATCTGCACGGAGCTGTTAGATCCCAGTTCTGGGCCAAAGGGAGGCCAGCTCCGCGTGATCTGGCCTGGGGACAGAGAGGAGGGGCTCATCTTCAACATGGGGGGAGACAGCAGGCGCGCAGTGAGATGCACAGTGCCCAGCTCCAGCTCCCGCAGACGGACAGCTGGGGGACTGGTTTGAGCTGGCAGAGAAAGCCTGTCTCTGCTCTTCGGCCTGGGCGCGAGGGATGGTGGGCTTGGTTTGCCAAGACCAAGGCTTTGGCCTTCTACTGTTCCTAGGGTGGGGACCCTGGGTAGCGGGACCCAATCCCCAGGCCAGAGCCATTTGGTCCTGAGTCGAGCTTCCGGAGCTCGGCGTCTGAGAGGCTCTGGCCAGCGGGGCCTGGGGCCTGGCTTTAAGGCATCGGAAGGCGAGGGGACTGTGGCAGGGAGCAGGGCACCCAGAGCTGGAGTACAGGCCAGAATGCGCAGGAGACAGCCATGCCTGCAGCAGACATGGGAGAGAGAAAAGGGCTGAGCCGTTTCAAACTGCCAAGTGTGGAATGGAGACCCAGGCATGCTGGGCCTTGAAGGAAGCAGAGCTGGGGGTCGTCCTGGATTGTTTAAAAAATAATAAAAATTAGAAAAGGAACTGAGAGTCAATTGTCAAAGTTAAAAAAGGGGGACAGTCTCTGATCCTCACGGGAGGGCAGAGAAACCTCCAAGGCACTCAAAAGACCAAGATCCAGGGGCAACGAGGCAGGAGAGGACTCCCAGAGAGGACACAGGCGGACACAGGGGAGGGGAGAGAGAGCAGGGGGGCCCCTGTCTCTTAAGGCTGCGGGGTTTCCACGCCGGGAGCAGGCCGGACGTCCAGTGGCCCCCGGGCTCCCCTGCGCTCTTGGGCTCCTGGGGCTCCGGCTGGTTGGTCAGCAAAGTCTTTCAGAGATTTTTCTATTACTGAAAGGAAAAAAAACAAACACAAAACAAAACACCAGAAAACCCCGAAGCGATTCGGTGCAGGCCCTTGAGCATCTCTGGCGCTGGTGCCTTAGAAAATCCTCTTGCGCTTCAGGTAGGAATCTGCGTAGTGGCCGCCCAGGCCCTGGGAGTGCTGGCCCACGTAGCTGCCTTCGGGGCTGGGCTCGGGCGAGGGCAGCAGGTGGGCAAAGCTGCGTTTCTGGCCACCCAGGGGGGTCTGGGGACAGAGGGGAGGGGGCGGCAGGTCAGGGGCCACCTGGGGGCCAGCGCTCCCCAGCCCTACATGGCCCCGCCCCCGCCTGTACCTTCAGCAGGTGGCTGTGGCCGTTGGGCCCGGGGCCGAGGCCCAAGAGCCCTTCTCCAGAGCCGAGCGGGGAGGAGCCGAGCGCCTGGGAGGAAGGGGAGAGAGGAAGGATGGAGAGGAAGCAGCCCCCAGCGCAGGCGGGGGTTTCGGGCTCCAGTCTCGTGGCTGCCACTTCCTAGCTGCCGGACCGCGGGAAGATTCCTGCCTCTCTCTGAGCCGTGGCTTCTTCATCTGTCGATTGGGGCTCATACCACCCACACCCTGGGCGGGGAGGCTGGGCGACACCAGGCACAAGACACACTGGTACGGGGAGGATGGCCTGTTCCAGCTGGCTCTGAGCAAAGCTGATCCCCACCCCCCGCACCCCGGCCTCGGCGCCGAGGGTCTCAGAGGCCCCCCTGTCCTGGCTGTCCCGGGGGCCTGTGCTCAGCCAGGAAGCCCCTCACCTTGTTGAGGTGGCTCTGCTTGAGGCCAGCCTGCAGGCCACTCGTGAAGTAGGAGGTGGGTGAGCCCGAGTAGAAGTGGGAGAGGGGCCCCCCACCGCCCCCGCCACTCCTCTCACCGAAGCCACTGGGCGGTGGGGACATCTGGAAAGAGAGGGCTGGCTGAGTGAGGGAGGGAGACTATTACCGTATCCACCCCCTTTCACAGACACCCCCCAAAAGAGTCTGGGACACTAGCTTTGGTCAATAGGACACTAGTATGATGATGCCAGCAAAGGGGTCCTCCCTCCCTTCTTCCTCTGGGACCCCTGGGACCACCACAATGTGCACAAGCACAAGCCAGCCCGCTGGAGGTGGGTTCCATGCAGAGCACATAAACCGTCCTGGCCAAGGCCTCGGCACCAGCCTACTGACCACCAGATGGGACTAAGGCCACCGTGGACGGCTGAGCCCCAGCTGAGGGGCCAGGGGACTGCAGACCCGCCCAGCCTCAGCCCGCAGAATGGCAAGAAATAAACTGTTTGCTGTTCTGAGCCACCAGGTGGCGGGACCAGTTGTTAGGCGGCCAAAGCCAACCGATACACTCAGGAGGTGGAAGGGACAGGGCAGCTCTTACTTTGTGTCGGCTGGGTCCGTGAGGCCCAAGGGCTGGCTCCCGCGGGTGGGAGAAGAGCCGCCGAGGTCCCAGGTCCTGAAGGAAAGTGGGAGAAGCGTGCCAGGTTGGGGTCTGTACCAACCTTGCCCTTGGCAGAATTCCACGGCATGGCTGTCATCAGGGAAGTCTGTCCCCTCAAGAAGGGGCCGACTCTGAGGATGGGGGCAAACTCGGCCTGCGGGGTGTGGCGATGAGACAGACTATGCGGCCCGCCCCGGCCGAGGTGACCGCTGAGAAGGGCGTGGCCCCAGTGGGGCTGTGCGCGGAGCTTTCAAGGCAAGCGGGCTTGTGTGAACCCCTGGAGCTTTTATGTTGCTGCTGGCATTTATTTCAGTTGTTATGTTTTTAAAACCCAGCATGGCCAAACATAACACAGGTGGCCATCTGTGACGCTGGACAGGGGAGGCTGGGATCATGGGAGCGGCTCCCTGGGGACAGAGACAGGACTCACAGAGGGGAGAGAAGGCCAGAGAGACAGATGGGAGGCTGAGCCCTGACTCTAAGGAGGAGTGCGGCCTAAGGCCTCCTGGGAGAGAGAGACAGACAGGAAGCAGGGTCGGAGGAGCAGACAGACACAAGAGACAGGTGCAGGGGCAGGGCCGTGTCTGGCATGTCCCCACTGTCCCCCTAGCGCTAGGACCAGAGAACCATCGGTTTGGAGAGTGACTCGCTCCCAGGGTGACAAAGGGTGACAGCAGCCGGGCCACAGGGCAGCCAGGTACTCACCGAGGGGTAGTCGAAGCCGTAGCTGTCGGGCAGCCCTGGTTCGGGGGGCAGGCGGGCGCTGGGGAGGGGGCTGAGCAGGCGAGACTTGAGCTGGAAGGCTTTGCCGCCGCCACCACCGCCTCCGCCGCCTCCGGGGGCTGGGGGGTTAGGCAGGGGGCCCTCAGCAGGGCGGCGGCCTCTCCCGGCACCTCCCCAGCCGCGGGCCTCCTTACCCGCCAGGTTGCTGGCCGGCAGCAGGCTGTGTAGGTTCAGGTAGGGGTTCAGGGGGATCCGGAAGTCCTTGGGGGGCTCCCCCAGCAGTGAGACCTGCGGCGGGAGGGCCGGAGTCACGAGGGGGGACCTTGCAGGGTGGGAGGCCGGGAGGGTGCTGGGCGCAGGGTGGGGCCTTACCCCAGGGGGCGTCGGCAGAGGCCCACTGTCTTTCTGGAGGCCTCGGAGGCCAGCGCCTCGGAGACCCCCAGGGGCAGGGGGTGGCGTGAGCTGGGCTGCTGGGGGCCCCAGGCCCATGGCTTCCCGGTCACCCCCAGAGGGGCCGAGCAGCGGCGGCAGCAGGGGTGGTGGCTTCCCTCGCCGAGGAGGCAGCTCTGGGGGCAGGCCCCCCCCTGCAGAGAGAAGGAGGGTGGCAGCGGCCCAGCCACACAGGACCCCTCCTCCCAGGGCCCTAAAGCCTCGGCCTGGGCCGGGGCCAGCCGTTGAGAGGTAACGACGTGCTGGGCACTGAGTGGGGCCAAGGACGCCGACTCCCAGGATGCTCACGGCTGCCTGTGAGGGGGGTGCCCAACTGACAGACGAGGAAGCTGAGACCCAGAGAGGTGAGGTCACTTGCCCAAGGCCACACAGCTGGGACTTTACCGTGCCCAGTGAGGAAAGGGGCCTGGGAAGGGGAAGTGGGCCTGCGCGCAGAGAGATGGGGGAGGGGGGCAGGGTGGCGTTACCTGCAGACAGCTCCCCGAGGAGGGGGTTGGCCGGCTGGGCCCCGGGCGGGAGGGCACCCAGGGGAGAGTCTCCCAGGATCCCGGGCTTCTAGGGACAGAGCACAAGCAGCTGGAGATGGGGGTGGTGCAGCCTGGACAGCAGACAGGTGTCACCCAGGGTCACAGTGGGCATGCCCAGCACACCCAGACTCCAGCCCCCAGCCAGTCACAGGCAGACACGCGCAGTGTCCCCCAGTGTCTGTGACACCCCAGCCATCACCCAGCCAGCCAGCCAATGGTGACTGAGGGCCTCCTGTGTGTCAGGGCCTGTGTGAGGCCCTGGGGAGACCCGGGCACTGAGCAAGTCAGGGCTGTCACCCTACCCTGTCAATCACCGTCAGACAGACACATACTGAGTCCATCTCAGACACCTGTCATCCCACACCCAGCCCCCTTGCTGGTATCATGGAACCACAGTGCCCAACACATGCAGTGTCATGTTGATCGCAGCCACACGGTGTGTGACAGCCACACACGGAATCATCCCTCTTAACCACGTGGGACCCAGACACAGCCACACCAATGACTTGGCCCCCGTGAACCAAACCAGACAGGCTGTGTGTGTGTGTGTGTGTACGCGCGCACGCGTGCGTCTGTGTGCTGTATCTACTTGTGTGTGCACGCGCGTGTGAAGGGGGTGGAGTGAGAGGCCCTCTTTCCCCCTGGGGCCTGCACTTTCTTCTCCAGACTGAGTCACTTCCTGAGTCCTGAGCACCTGCGACAGGCCAGGCCCCGTATTGAGCCCCAGGGACACAGCCAGGTGTCCCCCAAGGCCACTGAGGGCGAGCCATGCATTGGCAGGCGCAAGCGTGTTTGCAGTGCAAAGGCAAGGGGCCTGGGGGCATGAGGGTGAGGAGGGGCTCCAGGGCGCATGGGGGCCTGGGTGTTACCTTCTGAGTCTGGGTCTGCAGGGCGAGCTGCAGCAGCGCCGTGGACAGGGCGGGCCCGCTGAGCAGCGGCATGGCGGGGGGCGCGCCCAGGAGGCCTGGCGGGAGACCAGGAAATGGGCGGCGGTCCCTGGATGGAAGCCCCCCCGC